AGGGACAGCCCTGGGCGCTGCTGTCGGCCTCAGCCCTGCTGTGAAGCCTCCGCGCCAACGGGCAGGCTCTGGGACATCCTGCCACTGCCTGGGGCGCATCCGCCCCTGCCCTTCGTGGGGTCTCCCAGCCGCCTCCTTGCGTGGAGCCTGGATGGAGCTGGAGAGGTCGCCCAGGCCCGGGGTCTCCTTGCCGCCCCCAGGTGGGATTTCTGCCCTGTTGCAGGGAAGGGGACACGTTCCAGGGCAGCCGGATCCTGGAGCATCCACAGAAAGGGTGCGGGAGGCCCCCATGGCTGCAACCCCCCCCGGCTCAGGCATGGATGTAGATGAGAGGTCCTTCATGGGCAGCCACCCTGCTAACGCCAGCTCTGCCGGTAGTGCTGTGCGCGCCGCCAGCTCAACCGTGGGAGCAGTCTGTTCTGTGGAGAGGCCAAGGAGGCTCTGCAGCGTGACAGGCAGAGCTGGAATCGGTAAGAGGGGCTGAAATGATAGAGGAGAACAACTGGTTGGGAAAAAGCCGACTGGAAACCTTCTGCTCTCTCCCCTCATGCAAGGCAACCCTAAGTAGATCACTGAATATTCAGCATGAACCGTCACACTGTGGCACTGTGGCCGTCGGATGCTGTTGAGATCAAAAGGCTCAGAAACAGCCCAGAAGACATCAAGAGGAGCAAGGCTCTTCAATAAGGCCGCTCTGCAGGAAGAGCATCACAGGAGACAGGAATTCATGGTCAGGGCAGTAAGCTACAACTGGAGATGGAGGGACCTGGTTGGAGAAGATGGTGGAGATCTTTCTGTTAGAGGACAGGCCCTGAGCCACCTTTGTGCCTAGATGGAGAACCCATTAAACAGGTTGATTCATGGCTTCATCTCGCAATCCTGAGCGGACCTGTCTTAGTCAGCCGATTTCCCTGGCTCCCAGCATCACGGTGCTCTTTCTCTCGGTTCCGGTCTGTGGCATTTTTTGCTTGAGGGCTGACTGTGTTTCAATCCATCTCTTTTATCACACTGGGAATCACTTTGACTCTTGTTGTGTTTGGCCTTTGGCCTCATTTTCATCCCCAGTGACAGGCTAGAAAGGAGTGATGACGCCAAACACTGGGCAAGCGGAGTGGCTTTGCATTGTTCCAGGTCACTTTTGGGGTGGCCACATCCCCCTGATTGTTCCTCATGGTAGCTCCAATTCCCAAGCCCCCAACCCTGGTGCCAGTTTCGGTTCAGCGAGGCACAGTAGCAGCGTGATTAAATATTCCTGTGATTGTTGTTGTTGTCTCCAAGGAATACTCCCGGATCTGGCAACCCCCGCGCACACACCCTCCTTCTTGCTCAGACTTGACTTTTGCAATTGTTTGCTGGATGTTTTTCCTTCCGGCTCCTCCAGTCATCATCAGCCTTAAAGTATTTGGAGGCCAGAATTGCTAGTGCAGATGAGATGAGTTCATCAAAACAAAGCAATTCCTAAAGCAAAGGTGCTGGTTGCCTCGAAGACTCCCGTGCTACTTGTTTCCCAGTTATGTAAGCACTTCAGCAAGGGGTTACGTCCCTCGTAGTTCCCTGCCACGTGCCACCAAATCCCCATGGGAGGGCTTACCCAGCAGATGCACGGGACATGGGAGGTGTGTTTGCTGGCTTCCCTGGTGCAATGAAAAGTCCCCGAGCAAGTTAGGATAGGAAGGCAGCAGGTCACATCGTTTGTAAAGGAGTTTTTTTTTTTCCTTCTTTTCTGCTGCACTCCTGAACCCACACAAAGAGTTTGTGTCTCAAGCTCCAAGGGTGGCAACTTGTTTTGCGGCTGTGGCTCGTGCAGAGACCTAAAAGACCTCATAACATTGGTAGCACAGTCTCCTAGCTGGGCTGTGCAGCTCCTGGGGGCGACGTGCTGACATGTGTCAGGTCTCATGTCTCTGAGTCCAATATTTTTGCTGGTGAACCAGGGCTGGGTTTAAGTCCCTGTATTTCCTGCCTGATGCCTAGGCACAGAGATAGCCTTGATGGGACCAGTAAGCAGTGGGACCAGCAGCTGTGCCTGCTGGTAACAAAGGAGCGGGGTGGCTTTTCTCTCTGTTTTTTTGTGCTCAGAAGCAGACCCTGAAATCCTTTCCTGTGCCCCTGGGACAGAGCAGGGCCAGTGTTTGTTGGTCTCTTAAGCAGCCAACCTTTTGCAGCGGTCATTCCTGTCTGCCTCCTCCTGGCCTCTGCCATCTGCCCTCAAAGTCCTCCTGTGGCCACCAGCAGCCCTCATGGCCTGGAGACCTTCTCCTGGCTCCTATTCATGTGGGCGTTCCCAGCTCAGCTAAAGCTAAAGCTTGGGAGGTGTCTGCACCCACACATCTGCTTCGTCCTGCCTGCCGCCTGCCCCATGGTCCTCACGTCTGGGGAGCAGAGGGGCAGCTGTGGAGCCGCGGGGCTCTGCCCTCTCCCAGCCACAGTACCACTGTCACCAAGACGATTGTGCGGGAGCAGCAACTCTTCTCACATGGGTGCAGAATCTCTGCTCCCACTGCCCCCCCAAAAAGTCCTAAATGCATTAAGAATCTTTCCAGCATCCGGATTCTGCTAGGGAGACCACAGGAAGACCTGCAAGAAGATCACTGTGCCACGAAGCCTTGACCCTCTTCTCACCTGATCAATCAGCGGATACTGCTGCTTTTGCAGCTTTGCTCTGCTTCCATCCATAGCCCAGCAAGGCTGCAGCACGGCTCCTGTGTGCCTATGGGAACGGTGAGGTCAATAAAAGTGTTGTTATGCCCTGGAAACGGCTTCATGACTCTTGCCCAAGCCTAGGCAAACACTGCCAGCCTGTTACTCCGCCAGTGTCACAGTGGTTCCAGGTGCTATTCCCGGGCCTGGGCCTGGGCCAGTTCCAGTGGCTTTATATTTTTTTTCCCCTGTTCTCTAAACTGCTCTTCTCTCTGGCTACTGTGTGAACAGACTTTTTGCAAACAGTGGAGAAAAACGCCATTGAAGAAGAATCAAGACAAAGTCGAAGCTCAAAGCCCTGTCCAATATATCAAGAAAATACCCTGGGAAATGATAAAGATATTAACTGATGCCTTTCCTCTCCTCTCCTTGCTGGGGTCCATTGAAAATCAGGTAGCAAACCAATCCCAGTGCAAGTGCAATCCTCCCTCTGGATTCCCGTGTGCCTGGGCCCTGCGGAGCTGCCTTGTCCAGAGCACACTGCCCAGCCAGGCCCTTGCTTGCTCGCAACACGAGCACCTGGTGCCCCAGGAAAGCAGCAGCTGCTCCAGGTTCCGGCTTCTCCAGCTGCTCCACTGGCAACGCCTGGAGCAGGGCAGGGAGGCCAGGAGCTGCCCTGCGGTCCATGCCAAGGTGCGCGCCCCACTGATGGCGTCAGCCGGTGGCTTTTCCGTGCTGCCTGCACAGGTGGCTGCTAGCGGGCGCAAGGAAAGGCGCCGCGTGGCTTGCATGCCATGGCACCCGCCTCAGCAAATGCTCTTATCACAAAAACAAGCAGCCGTGCTGGCGCGCAGAGCCCGGCTGGCGTGGTTCTCCCGAAGAAGGAGCCCCGCGGAGTGCTGGGGCAGCGGTGGGTGCAGCGGAGGAAGCCACGCTTCCTGGGCACAGCATTTTTCCCCTGACTGGCACCTGAGGAAGACAGGGGAAGCAGGAGGAGAGGGGTCGGTGCTAAAGCAGAAGAGCAAAGTGGGGCTTTGGGGCGGGTGGGAGAGGTGAGGCTGGGTCAGGGCAGAGGAGATGTGTGGGATTGTCCTGGCAAGGTCAGGAGTGACTCTTTCCAGGTGGGAGAGCCCTGAGGTGCAGGGCCCGCAGGGCCATAGCGAATCCCCAGCCCATTGCAGTGCCCCATTTCAAGCAGCGGGGAGGCATGCAGGAGTGCATGTGCAGGCTTGGCGCAGGGGTCTGGCGGCTGCAGCAGCCCTGAGGCTGAGTGAGGGCCATCAGGCTGGCGAGGGCTGCACCGTGCTCCACAGCCCCGCGCTGCATGGGGGCTGCGCCTGCTCCCTCGGGGAGACCAAACTGCTCTTGCTCGGGGTAGGCTCCCTCCTGCGACCAGGCAGGGAAAGCACAGCCCGGCCAAGGCAACAGCAACCCGTGTGCGCTGGCGACGGCTCCTTCACATCCTCGTCCCGCAGCCTGGCCCGGGCCACCTCGCGGGCAGGACCCTCCTGGGCTCCAGCCTCTGCGGCCCCACGAAGGCCTCCCTCCTGCCCCGCCATCCCCAGCTGCGCGCAGAGCCGCAGGGAGGATGGAAACACAAACCAAACAGCAGGAAAGTCCTCCCTGGGGTGGAAAGGGGCTCCCAGTGAAGCGTGGAGGCCACCCGTAGGCCTTTTGGGGGTAGCTGGACAGGGCGGAAAGGAGGCTGAACGGAGCATGTGAGTGGCGCTGCCTCCCCTGCTCAGCACAGGGGGGCTGCGCCACCCTGCGCACCCCCGCTCAGTCTGCTGCCAGCACAGCCCCGGCTTCGGCTCCTCGGTGCAGGCCCTCTGAGCCCGCGCTGTGGCCCTCCCAGAGCAGACCTCAGCACCCCCTCGGACACTGCAGGCCAGGGTTTGTGGCCACCCATGATCCCCCCCAAAACGTGACTTGTCCCATGGTGGAGCCTGGCCCTGTGCCAGGCTGCTCCCTGCACCATCTCCTGCGTGGTCCAACTGCTTCTAGTACAAACAGGCAGTTGTTTGTCAGGATGTTTGAGCTGCACGTTGTGGTATTTGCACTGTATACAACGGGGCTGTTTGTTTGCAAAGAGTGAAGGTAACAAAATCTCAGGGCGGCATCTCTGTGCGAGTGGGGCAGCGTGTTGCGGCAACACGGCAGGCTTGTCTGCAGCCAGCCTCAGCTGCGGAGCCGCACGGATCCAGGGGCACTGAGCTGCACTCTACGCGGGCGGCCCTTTCCGCTGGCACTGCCAGCGCGGGACGTGCGGAACGACCTGTGGGGAGCAAGTGCCATCCTAGCACAGCGACGCTTGCCACTCTTCCACGACAGAAGCACAGGGGAGACAGCCAAGAAGCCAGGTCTGAACGGGGCCTGGATTGAGATATCATCTCCCAAATGCTTCTTCCTTTCCCTGCTAGGCCTGGGCCCTCGCTGCTGGCAGTTTGGGCGCTCTTTTCCCAGCTTGGAGGCCCTTTGGCCCTGCAGTGCGGTGGGCAGCTCTGCTGGGCGGCCCAGCTGAGGAGGAGGAGGGCCAGTTGCCGCATGCGCTGGCTGCGGAGGCTGGTTGGAGGCAGCCCGCCTGCTCCTGCCCACAGCAGCGGTGCCTGCACTGTGTGCCCCGTGCTGGCGCGGCGGCAGCACGGGGCAGCAGGAGGGCAGAGGGGAGCGCGGGGCTCTGCGGGCGAGCCAGGGCCACAGGCCATGATTCCCTCTGCCCACGCTGCAGGACCAGCCCTTGCAGGCTCCCTTGGCCCGGGAGGACAACACGGATGTGCCCACATCCTTCCCGCTTGTGGGTGCTGCAACATCCGCTCCCTGCCCCATGCTGGTGCTGACGTCCTCCACACGCCACGGCGGCCGCTGGCCTGCTTCGCGGCCGACAACCCC